AGCAGGAAAATTATGTAAGTAAATTTATATTTTAGGTCCATTACTCTGTCAGCAGTTGGCAAGGGGGCCAGATTGGAGGTAGAGAGCCAGTAATGAGGCTGATGCATTCATTTGGTGGTGAAATGATGGGGTGGGGTGAGGAGCGAATGAGAGAGATGGCGAAGGAACAGTGTACAATTTGGAAAGTGATTGGAATCTGTTCAGAGGGAAAGGGAACTAGCAATCAGCCTTCTAGGAATTTGGTTGGGCATTGAGGACACTGGTTTTCTGCATATAGAGAAGCAATTTACGAGCTTTAGACATACTGGACTTGAAGCACATATGAAAGATAGTAGATACTACAAATATATTGGAGCTCAGGGGAGCAAATAAAACGAGATAGATTATGTTTGTAGTGATATGCTTTCATTTCTTTTTTATTCCTTTTGTGTAACTTCTATGGGTATTTTAATTCTCCCACACATAGACTTAATGTTGTGGTCGTCATAATTTACATCTATTCATGTTATGTATTTTTTTTTTACATATTTTAGTTAGTTTTAGTACATTTCTCTTTGAACTTTAATTTTTAAAAATCCTCACGAGGGTATATTTTCATTGACGTTAGAGAGAGAAGAAGGGAGAGAGAGAGAGAGAAACATTGATGTGAAAGAGAAACATTGATTGGTTGCCTCCTATACACTTCCTGACTGGGTATCGAACCCACACCTAAGTATGTGCCCTGAATTGGAATTGAACCCACCACCTTTTGGTGTATGGGACGATGCTGCAACCCACTGAGCCACTGGACAGGGCAAGAACTATCTTTCTGGTTGTTACAGTTCCATGGGACCCGGGAACATAAGCCTCCCTGTCCTCCAAGCTAGGAGATCTTGGGGCACCCCTGGGTGGCCACCATAGAAACTGGGCCACCAGACATGTGTAGACACTCCTCTGTGTGAGAGACTGGTGCTCTGCAGCCTGTTAGTGGGAGTGTAAAGATAGTGACCACTGGCTGGAGCAAGGCAGAGGGGGAGTGTAAAGATGGCAACCTCTAAAAAAAGAATAAAAGAAAGAAAAAAAAAAGGAAAAAAAGAAAAAGAAAAAAATGGCCCTGAGACTATCCAAGCAGGCCTCTGCCTTGCAGACCAATGTTATAAAATAAACAAATGAGTCTTTTTTCATGTAAATTTGGGGCTCATTTCAAAGGACTGCTTTAGCACTGGCCATAGGGTGGGTGAGTCTGTGTGGAGCCCTTTAGGAGCCTGTTCTTAGGCAGCTACAGCCCCAGGAGTCTGGTGGCTGTGAGCCCCACTGGTCTTCAAAGCCAGGTGTCTTGGAGGCTCAGGTGCCTGTCTTAAGAGTTGGGTGCCTGATGTGAGGTAGGAACCCTTCACTCCGCACGGTGCTCTGTTTTTTTTTAAGTTTCTTCCTGACGGTGGGTTGTTCCATTGTGGGGTGGGGTTCATGGTGAGAATGTGTCTCTACCTGCTTCGGTGTGGCTTCCGGCTTGTTTACCTGATGTGAAGTAGTATCTCCACCTTTGTTTAGGGTTTCTCCCCTGCCCCCCCGCCCCACCCCCAACATAGTTGTAGATTCAGTGTGTCCATGGGAGGAGGCGAATTCAGGATCTTCCTACATTGCACTCTTGAATTGGAACTCGAACAGAAAGGAAACAGGCGAGAAAACACTCTTGGGTGCGGGTTTACAGCACTTACTTTTATGGAAAAATTTGGGCTAAGAGATAGTGTTTGCATGTTCTCATTCTCGCCTGCCCTGTGATATTTGATACGATAGCCAAATAGGACAGAATTTGCATTTGTTTCTCAGAGAAAAGACCATCTTAATATTCAGTTTTGACATTTCAGAAGACACCTAGATTTGTTTTGGGTTCAGATTTATTCACTGGGCTTTTTTTTTTTTTTTTTAAGGTTTACATTTTGTCTGTAATGAGTTAAAAATATCAACATTCAACAAATTATTTTGGGATTCTTGAATTATTTTAAATTACCACCCAAAACTTTGAACAAGTACAATCCAGGCAATGCTTAAGGTAAGGTTCAGATTTTACTGAAAGGTATTTGACATTAACTCAAGCACAGTGGCCTATTGGAATGAAAAATCTTCAAATTGAGTTAATGTCAAATACCTTTCAGTAAAATCTGAACCTCACCTTAGCATTGCCTTATTTTTGTCTTCTTTACTTCTGCTTCATCTACAAGGTAAAATTAGTGCTTTTATTCTTTAGCATCTTTAAGTGTATATGTGGGCAGGTATTGATGGAGTGTGTTTAATGGGATCTAACAAAAAGCCACTCTACAGATTTTATGACATCCCCTTGATAATTATTTGTTTTTATAAATGAAAAAATCTACTTAAATGAATGAATCATCATAGTTTGAGTATTCTGAGCTATTTAGTATCAATCAATGGAGGCTATATGTCCTGATAATGAAAGTTCAAGCTAAAATCTCCACATTATGCAGACTCTGACCTTTAATGAAAACAGTTTGTGGTTATGCATCCTTACTGGATTTTCTCTCTTACTTCTTTGGCTGTAGACGGGTTATCTGGAATTATTGGTTCTCATGTTTCTTATTTTGAATGTATTAATGTATTAATCCGGAAGTTTCTACTTGGAGTTGTATAAAAGTTCACATAGATGTGAGGAAGAAATATCTAAGAAGTAGAGTAATATTTCTCAGGGAATAGATTGATTGGCAAAATAGTTTGTATTTTTTATAGATAAAATTAATTAAATTGTTTAAAATGTTAGACCTGGTATTATTTTGATTTGAACATAGTATAGACCAAGGAATAGCAAGGCACAGAAACAATCACATAACATAATAAAACAGCGAATATAATGGTTATTAAAAATTATATTAAAGAAATTTGTTTACTCTGCCGCAAAATGGGAAAATGAGCAGACTTCGGCTGTGTTTGAACTGATGGGTGGGACTGGTTCCCATTTAAGGCTCTGAAAATTCTTCCTGTGATTTGAGGCCCAATTCAGTTTCCCTCATGCCTTTTATCTGGCCCAAGTCTCATATCAGGGAGTCTTTTCTGTTTCAGCACATGTTACTTTTATCTCCTTTTTGCATTCTCTTCACTCACTATGCCTTGTTTGAGCTAATGATAAAGTAGCAAGAGCACAGCATTGTGGTCAAAACCCATTTCAAACTAGGAGTCCAGGTGACTCACTGGTGAAATGGGAAGGGAACTAGGGACCCCTGGGGTTCCTGTGAGACTTAAATGGGAAGGCGTACAGTAGTACCTGGACCTGACCAGGCACTCAAATATCAGAGTCCTTCCTATTTTTGAGTTCCATGCCTAGCTTTCCGGCAGTCTGTCAGTTCATTTAGCGCAGGAAACGTGTTTTATATTCACAGTGCCTTGTGCACAGTAATGTCTAAAATATTGCATTGTTGAATGTAATTTACCAGCCTGCTGTGGAAGCTTAGTACTGTTATTTTTTATTTCCTTTTCCTCTGCCATCTTGGTTTGAGACAAACACGTTGCTTTTGTGAAACTGAGGATTTAATTCAGCAGAATGCCGTTATAATATGACTTATCCCATGGCGTTTGAAATAGTAAGGGTCAAATCATTTCCCTGGAAACTTAATCATATTCTGTAAAATCCTATTAGCCTGTCTCATACCATCATAGTCACAGTGGAGTTCTGGTGTGTTTAAGATGGTGAAGTCTCTGTAGACATCTATCTAATGGCACACAGTGAGCATATGGAAAACAAATGATAAAGCAAGAGGAAATGCAAATGTCTTGCAAATGACATTACTTGACATTTGCAATCACTAATCCTCCAAAGTAGGTGCTAATTTACTAAAATAAACCAAGAATTCAATTTGTTGTGAGCTCCCTTTGCTTAATTAATTATTAGTAGCAGAACAATATTCTGCGCTACACTGCAATTTGTCTCCTTTGTGTTTATCTAGTATCTGACTTAGAAATGAACAGAAGCCCTGGCCGATGTGGCTCAGTTGATCGGGCATCCATACACCAAATGGTTGCCAGTTCCATTCCTGGTCAGGGTACAAGCCTGGGTTGTGGGTTTGATCCCCAGTTGTGGGGGTGGGTAGTGGGGGGGGGGGTGGGAGAGGCAATATCGATGTTTCTCTCTCTCTCTTTCCCTCTCCTTTCCTCTCTCTCTAAAAATCAAAAATACTTTTTAAAACCATGAACGGAAACATGCTGACTCAGCAGAACTGATTTTATAGCTCACCTGTATTATAAAGCAGGAATGAATAAATGTTTGCTGAACACACTGCATATGCTTCAGTCATCAAAACGTTAGTTTTCTTACCTTCCCAAACTATAAGATCTGAGAGAGCTTCCTGGCGGAAACTTGCTGGGTGCCTATTCTGCAGAGATATTTCTATAGAGACAAGCAACTGTTTTTACATAAATTGTTTCCATGGTTGGAATGTGAGAGCTCTTTTAACACTTTCTCATTGTGATTTGAAATTATACATACATTCATTGTACATTTTTTCTTTAAAAGTAGTAGTGTATGCTAAGATATGAAGAGTTTTTTTTTTTTAATCCAGTATACTCTTTTGTTGAAATGAGGACTAAGTGGGCTTTCATTTATGCAATAACGTTGGTGTACATTTTCTTATTCTTTTAAAAAAATATATTTTATTGATTTTTTTATAGAGAGGAAGGGAGAGGGATAGAGAGTTAGAAACATCAATGAGAGAGAAACATCGATCAGCTGCCTCCTGCACACCCCCTACTGGTGATGTGCCCGCAACCAAGGTACATGCCCTTGACCAGAATCGAACCTGGGACCCTTGAGTCCGCAGGCTGACACTCTATCCACTGAGCCAAACCAGTCAGGGCCATTTTCTTATTCTTCATAATCATTTTTAATTATTTTATTGAAAGGCAACTAGTTTGTATTTGTTACATCTGTTTCAACTTTTCTCTGTTAGCTAGTTAGACATTTGAGGAAAAAGAATGCTGCTGTACTAATTATTTACTTTCATTTTAAATTTCAGTTTCAAAGGACATTTGAATCTCTTAAAAATGTTTCCAACAAATCTGACCTCCAGGAAACCTATCAGAAGCTTGGGAAGGAGCTGGAAAATTTGGATTATTTAGCCTTCAAACGTCAGCAGGTAAGAGTGGGAACTCTCCTTGTGGAGATGATGAATGCTAGGCTTTGTGCTGTCATGCCTGTCACTTTAGGTGGGCCTGGGGCACTTACCTTCCAATGTTTAGGGCGGAAATAGGCTGTGCTATGTTGTGTTGACCGGTCTCTTCATATGACTTCCTGCGGTGTTCCCCGGGGGTCTTGCTTTTAGATGTGCACTCTGGGGGTTTCCACATGTGTCCTTTTACTTCTCTTAAAGAAAACTCCTGCTGGCTTGTAAAGGTACAATTTCCCTTCAAGTAAGGATGCTTCATTGGCATAAAGGGAACCTCTGTGAATGCTGGACCAGGTGGCTTTTATATTGACAGGGGGATGCTTGAGAAAAATCCCCTGAAGACCAGGTAAAGGATGTGGTTGTACATACAAATTTAAGGAAAAAAGTTATAAATATGCCAAAATATGAATCAACTTTTGCTTTTCTTATTTGATCTCTGAAGATTAGTAAGTTTTCTAAATGTATAAGGTTGAAGAAAAATATACTTTACAAATGCAAATCTTTTTGCCTCCTTGAGTAGATTTCAAGATAAATCCTGAGCCCAAATAGAACTGGTTTGCTTTTAGAATTAATATTTTGTAATATTAACAATAATTCTGTGTGTGTGTGAGATTCTGCCTTTCCCAAGCTGGCTCTTCATCCGTCTCCTCACAGCCACTAGGTGTCAGGGTTGTTAAGCTTTTACTTTGACGGAATGTTTATTCCCATCAGAACTGCCAGTTAGATGTTTAAATGAGGTTGCATGAAGTTTGGGAATGTGCTCAGTGATGGATAGCGTCTAGAAAAATGACTAAGTGGGTGACTCGGATGGCCAGGCACCAAGTCCATTACTTAAGAGTCTTTCCTGTTAGTGTGGCAAAAGGTGTGACTCTCTGGCCATTGCCAATTTCACAGATTTTGGATCTATGGGATGGGGGTTTTCAAAGCAGGACTTGCTATGTGTAGTCACACTTCATCAGGTCAACATAGTATGGTGAGGACATACTGACTTGAAAAGAGAATTGTGTTTTAGGTTTTGCTTTATCGCAGACCTTACATGAGCATTTAACCTTTCCAAGGCCCTATTTTCCTAGGAGCTATATTTGTTTTGTAGAAAGTTCTGGGGCAAATGCAATAAACTTATATGAAAAAGGGCACACTATCCATTTATGTTTTTTTAAAACCGATTTTTAAATTAGTGAGGGCCTAGGTATTAATTAGCACATGCGACGAAGCAGTTACGGTTACTGAGCTCCCAGATTCTGCTGTTTGAAATTCATACCACGAGTCACTGCTCTGGCCCATGCAACTTTCAGTACAGTTTTGTGTCCAAGAGCCGTATTTTACCTCTGAGGAGCATTTGAGTTGGCAGGCAGTAGTCACTGTTCCCTCTTCTTATCCTTTCCCATTAACACATTCTCAGTGATTAGATTCTTACATTAGCTAATTGTCACTTTGGAAAAATGGGAATGCTTCAAGGCCAGACCTCTGGGAGAATGGCATTGAGGACAGACAGGTAAATTGCATGTGTATGTGAGAAAAATATGGGCATAAGGGGCATATATATATATATATATATGTATATATATATATACATATATATATACATACATATACACACACACATACATATATATGTAAATTATATATGCTATTTATAAATGACAACTATCTGCCACATAGTGTGTTTAATACACTTATGGATTAGACAATTAAATACATTATAAAGGGCTTGGTTTTATGAACACCATTTTACAGATGAGAAGACCGATAAGAGAGTTAAATAATTTGCCTAAGATAACCGGGTGAATAAGACACGAGGCTGGTCTTCCGGGGTAAATCAGTCTGACTCTAAACCTGGGCTTTTCCGTGGTCTCGTCCCCAATATCCCTGCAGGAAGCCAGGCTGGGGGTAGTAAAGTGAGAAGTTCTAGGCGTGCGGAATGAAAGCAATTTTCGGAGAGGCCGGACCCAGGGCTTAAAGAAACATTTGAAAATGCCACCTGGTGAGAGGCAAAAGACGGCCAGTTCTCGCTCTTTCTCTCATGCAAGTCGTGCAGTATATCCGAAACCACAAAAGGATTTTTGAAAGACTCTATTCAGACAGCTAAGAAAATGTATGAAACTTTACTACACGATTTTCTAAGTGTTATGTCTAGCAACTCTAGTTCTAGTGAAATTTATTCACACAAAGCAGATTTTGAGCTCAAAGGGCCAAATCCTTATAAAATGGGCTTCCCTGAGCAGGTAACATACTGTCAATCCTTTGTCTTACTAGACTCCATCTCTTCCTATACCTACTGATCATTCTTTTTCTTCCTGGAAAAGATAGAAGGGGAATTGGAGGGAAGCGGTCAGAAAGAGAAGGATGGTGGGAAGTCAGGGACCACAGAGTGATGGACAAAGAGGGAAGAGACCAATAGGGATAAGATAGGAGGAATAAAATGAGGGAAGTTAAACTGTAGTTGGTTTTATACTATATGCATCTAGTAAGTTAAAAGGTTGATTTCTGAAAATTAAAAGAAAAATCTCAAAATAGAAAAAGGGAGAAAAAAGGAGAGGCTACAAGAAGGGAGATGGCAGAGAACAGCAAAGACAAATTTTGTTTACTTCCCATTTTACCTCAGAAAATAGCAGAACTTTCTAGAAACTTGTAATATTAACCCAGTTCTTCTGTATGAAAGCCCCCGAGGAACTGCTGTTTCCTGGGTGGGCAGGGTTCAAAGAGTCAGAACGTGCGCTCTTCCCTGACCTGGTGAGACTTGCCCTTATATTGCCTACCCTGCCCCTTTAAAGCCCCCCAAACCTCTAAACACACACCAGTGAGTTTCTCCCACTGGAAAGGATTCAGGAATCTGTAAAATTGCAATACAGCAAGAAAGCTTCTGCCTCCTACGGCAGGATCTTTGTCCAAGAGAATTAGTCATGGCTTGTTTTCTGCTCCAACCGTATTCATCATTCCTCGTGTGACAGCACATAGGCTCCGTAAGGACAGGGCCTCATCTGTCACCTTCGCTGCTGCATTCTCTGCGGTGCTCACAGCAGTCCCCGGCCCATGGCAGACGCTCAATAAATACTTGTTGGTGCTGTTGTTGCTACGAACAAGAAAGCATACAAAAGTTTTGGCCTCAGATTACCGGCAATTAAAATTGATGTTACCACGTTTTTAAAATTCATAAGGGTATTAACCCTTGGGCTTCCCGAATGCCAAAGGCTGACAGATTGCCCTTAGACTTAGGCATTATTTAGGTGTTCTGCTGACATGTTTCATTTCCCATCCATTTCTTTACAAAAATATTAATGTTAGAAAATATTAATGTTACCTTAACTATGAGTTATGGATGTTCAGTGGATCGACTATAATTATCTTGGACTCATTCATTAGGTTTTATTTTGTTTCCTTTTTCTATGACATTTTAAACATCGTTTTGAGAGATTTCTTTCTCTGGGCCAGATAGATTCCTGGAGTATTTTGTTCTATTCTTTTTAACTCTATTTTGGGGTTTGTTGTACTCTCTCTCCTAGGTGTGAGCTTAACTGTTTCTTTCCTTATTTTCTTTTTTAAAAGAGTGAGTGCTTACACCTCAGCTATCCTTAGGCTATATTTTAGGTTGGGGCACAAGCATCTCTCCATTTCCCTACTGTCAAAAAGAGTAATGGTGAAAACAGCCTTGGTAGGAAAAGGTGAGCGGAAGCCATGATAGATGAGGTGGTAGGTTTTCCAGGACGAGTCAGCTTGAAGTAAATGATGACAAAGCAGGATTAACTGGAGAATCTAGAGACTTTTTCAGTTTTTAATATCTGGAGGTGTAATTTTAGAGTGTATGTGCTTGGACTGTTTGGTTTTTATTCTCCTGGTTGATGTTACATAGGAATGGTAATAGCAAGTTTCAGCTGTTACATAGAGCCCAGATTTATGTATTAATTTGAGAAGTTATAAATCAAGAGATTTCCTTGGGGCTTTGATTAGGTGGAATAAAATAAAATAAAGTTTGGTGATCTGGACTCTAATTTAATTCCTTTTTAATTTAATGTTAATTTTAAATGGATTTATTGGGATGACACTGGTTAACTAAACTGTACAGGTTTCAGGTGCACAATTGTACAACACATCATCTGTACACTGTATTGTGTGTGCACCACCCCAAGTCAAGTCTCTGTCCATCACCATTTATCCCCCCATCACTTCTTCCACCTTCTTCCCCCATCCCCATGGCAATCATCACACTGTTGTTTATGAGTTTTTTTCTCTTTTTTGCTTTATTCCCCTCCCTCCCCAATACCGCCAGTCTCTATTTTGCTTGCTAGTTCATTTTATTAGATTCCACATATGAGTGAAATCACATGCTATTTGTCTTTCTCTGACTGGCTTATTTCACTTAGCTAATGCTCTCCAGGTCCATCCGTGCTACTGTAAAAGGTAAGATTTCCACCCTCTCCCCTTTTTAAAATTTTTTAAAATATATTTCTTTATTGATTTCAGAGAGGAAGGGAGAAGGAGAGAGAGATAGAAACATCAATGGTGAGAGAGAATCATTGATCGGCTGCCTCCTGCATGTCCCCTACTGGGGATTGAGCCTGCAACCCAGGCATGCGCCCTTGGTCGGAATCGAACCCGGGACCCTTCAGTCCACAGGCTGACGCTCTATCCACTGAGCCAAGGGTGCCTAGCACAATAAAGACTTTCTTGTTCAAATGGTGTTTTTTTCCTTTCATATGTGTATTGGTCATCTGTATGTCCTCTTTGAAGAAGTGTCTATTCAGGTCCTTTGCCATTTTTAAATTGAATTGTTTGTTTCTTTGGGTGTTGAGTTGTATAAGTTCTTAATTATTTATTTATTTTTGTTAATCCTTGCCCAAGGATATTTTTCCATTGATTTTTAGGGAGAGTGGATGAGAGAGGGAAAGACAGAGAGAAACATTGATGTGAGAGAAACACATTGATTGGTTGCCTCTTGTACAAGCTCCAACCAGGGCTCAGGTCAGGGAGAA